TATTTGGTATCTCCAATGCTCACTGTATTTTTACTTTTGCTTCCTCTTTTAATTTGTTTCAGTTTACTCAGTTCATAGTATGTAATTGAATTTATTTTAAAGCAAATACTTGATCTGTTAAAACATTTTGTCTGAATTCGGCCTGATATCCTTTGCAAAGTTCTTAAGCCCTTTTCTGATCAAATCTGAAAGAATTTGTAACCCACATAGAACAGTGCTATGCTCCTATCGTATAGCAAAATATTTTGTTACATTTTTGTAACATCTTGTAACACTAGTTACGTATTGTACATCATGATTGTCTTTGCCTTTATGTCATACAGAGTCAGCTTTCCTAATTATATTTCTTTATAACCTATAATCTTATTATTTGTCATAATAATATCAGTTTTGTTCACATATGTACTACTTTTTTTTTAATAAAATATGCCAACGTGGTATATTTTATTATAACTGCAATCTGATCTGTAAACATTAATAAGCAGTTTTTGTCTAACTTAAATTAATTTAAACTAATAAGAAGTCTAAATTAAATTAACTTTGAAAATTAAGGCAATTATATCGAGCACAAGTTTAATCAAATCTTGTCCAAGTACTTTCGCTTAATATAGCATCTTCAGGGGCTTTCGTCAAATATGGGCTATCCAGCAAGCGTAGAATGTGATAAACATGAATTTTAACATAAAATTGTACAAAACAATACTCTAAAACAAGCAGAAACAGTTTAAAATTAATTAAAATAGTTCTACGCTACATTCTTTGGCGGTAACAGGAGAGATAATTATTCTCTCTCCTGTTACCGCCAAAAAATGTAGCGTATGAAGTATTTTAATTAATTTTAAACTGTTTGCGGGAACAGCACAGAGAATTATTCTCTCTCCTGTTACCGCCAAAGAATGTAGCGTAGAAACTATTTTAATTAATTTTAAACTGTTTGTCCTCGTTCTAGTGTAGTGTTTGTACAATTTTATGTTACCATCTATGTTTATTACATTACATAGCCCATATTTGACGAAATGCCCCTGAAGATGCTATATTAAGCGAAAGTACTTGGGCAAGATTTAATTAAACTTGTGCTTGATAATTGCCTTAATTTTCAAAGTTTATTTATTCGAGCATTCAAACTCATATCAATTAAATTAAATTAAACTAAGAAGAAAGTTTAACTTAAAGACCTACTCACTAGCGATACTTATACTATAATAACTCAGTTACAGAGATTTTGACGTATATCACTGCCGCACTGTACTTTGCTTTATATTAAGTATACTGTGATTGGATTTCTGGCAAATTTTTGGACGGTCTGATTAATAGTGTCTATCTCTAAGTCCCTATGGAGGATATACCAAGGGGTATCAACGATGTTCCTCAGAACTTTATTTTGGAAACGCAAGCAAGCAATTTAATTAATACAATCTGAGAGACTTGCACATCCCTTAGAATTACATTCGGGTGTTACAATTCATTGGAGGAAGGTGCATTGATTCGTGTTACGACTTGCTCTGATTCGCGATGGGGGCTATCAGCCAAATCTTTTTGATGTGGAAATCCTGGCTACTCGCAACTCCAACACGATATCCTAACTTGAACAATGCATGCTAGCATGACGCGCTCTTTTCCTGCTTTCTCTGGTGGCGTATCATCGAACTGAAATTGCTTGCTCAGTCACGAGTCTCTGCTCCGAGCTGCACCCAGTTCGGCAACTCGGTGCCTGAGGATGTGGGCCCTTCGTGAGTAGGTTTTGTGGTGGTGTTAATTCTTTTGGATGGCTGTCGCCTTTTTATTAGTATTTTTCATTTTTTTTAGTAGACGAAGCCTTTGTTTGTTTATTTTTTTTAAGGTTGTCCTGAAAATAAACATCAATTATTAAAATTTCCAATTCTGCGTGCTGGGGCTTCTTCTGTTAGTAGAGTTACGAATTATCTAGACTTTATGTATTTGCCAGGATTTGCTGTTTTGGTCTTTTGCGCTGCCATCGATGGAACGCATCATATCTTATTGCTCAAGTCTGCAAACCAAATTCTGTCTTTTTCTGCCATTTTATCATCACCCTTACTTGTTGCAGTTCTCTAAACAGAAAGCGTTCAGCGACGTATCTGGGTATATTTGCCCTTTCTCTAAGTATATTATTGTAGGCTGCTTGTATTTTCTTTTTATTTGAAGTGCTTATGTGTCCCCATGTGAGAGTTGCATGTGTGATTATTGGAATTATGATGCTGTTTATTTTTGTCTTTATGCGCAGTTTGCGTTTTCTACCTACGAGTCCTCTTAATGTTGCTCTGCCTGTTGCTGATTTCTGGATGGTTGTGTCCACGTGTTGCGTGAAAGTTAGGCCTTGGTCCATAGTGATTCCTAGTATTTCGCTTCTCTTTTCCATTCGATGGGATTATCTGGTCTAACAGATGTTCCTCTGAGGTTTTTCAGTAAACGCTGTATTATGACTATATGTTGCTGGTACAACCCCACATCTGCATGCCATATATTCATACGGGCTTAGAAATTTGTTTGTATAGAAGAACTTTATTGCAGATTAACATGATGGAGTATCTTCCCAATAATTTATATATTTTCTTGTACCTTATGCACAGCTTATGGGCCAATATATCTTTAAGGCTTTTCTGTTAAAAATTCTTCACATTTTAGCTCGTTTATTCCTTCTAGGAGTTCTTTCCCTTTTGTCGTTATTAACCCAGAGCCCTAATAGGTATGTTTGGCGTTACAGTCACCAACAATTATAAATCTCTGACCATTCCTCTCCAAAAGATCTATATTGGTTCTTTTTTGATAGAGCATGCCTTGGTGGGCAGTATAGACCTGCTACAATTATCTCATATGTTCTAGTCCTGATAATAACAGCAATGGCTTGAATTTCCTCTGTTTAATAGCCCAACTCTGCAAGATGCATAATTTTTTCTTTAATTATGCCTGCACTGCCCCTTTTGGCGGTAATTTCAGGATGCAGTGTGTGATACACTATGTATCCTTTAAATCGAATAAATGATTCTTTAATAAAGTGTATTTCGACTATCAGACAACTATCAATATGTTCTATGTCAAGAACTGTCTTTAGTTCTTTTTGATGCTTAAGAAGTTCATTGGCGTTCCACTCCATTTTCCATGCTTCTTCTTCTTTAAGTTCCATCTTCTATCGAAGGTTGGAAATCAACATGGCTATGCGGACTCTGTTGACTGCCGCTCTAAAAAGTTCTGCACCACTGCATTCAAACCATTTACTCAAGTTCTTAAGCCAGGATATTCTTCGTCTTCCCACATTCGCTTTTCTAGGATTTTGCCCTGCATAATAAGTTGTAATAATGCGTATTTTTGCCCTCTCATCACATGTCCCAAGTACTCAAGTTTTCGTCTTTTAATAGTTAATATTATTTCCGCCTCATTTTCTATCCTTCTAGTTACTTCCATGTTTGACATTCTTTGAGTCCATGATATTCGTAGGATTCTTCTGTAACACCAAAATTCAAAGGCGGCCAACTTATTCAGATGAACTTGTTTTAGTGTCCAAGCTTCCAGACCATAAAGAAGAGTAGAGAACACGTAACATCGAAGCATTCTCAGGCGTAGTTCTAACCTTATATCCCGACAACAAAGAAACTTTTAAGTTTAATAAATGATGTACGTGCTATTTCAATACGTGTCTTAATTTCTTTGGTTTGGTCTACATCTGATGTTATCCATGTTCCTAAGTATTTATAGTTATTAACACTCTCAATTGCAGTATCTTCAATAGTCAATTGGATATTTGCATGTGCAGATTTAGTCATGATCATGCATTTAGTTTTCTTTAAATTTATCTTCAGTCCGTACTCATGACAGCGTTCATTAAGGCGTTGCATTACGTTCTGTAAATCATTGTTGTTATCCGTAATTACTACTGTATCGTCTGCAAAACGTAAGTTATTCAAAACTTCTCCATTGATAGATATACCTTCTATTGAGTCTGAGAGCGCTTCTTGAAATACCGCTTCACTGTAGACATTGAAAAGTAGTGGGGACAGCACGGGACAGGACAATCTTAAGCTATCTGACATAAATGTTTTTAGGAATAGCTCCTTTAGTCATACAATTCTGGTCAAACAAAACGCTCATATTCTTTCCAGGAGTTGCTGAAGAGTCTGTTAAATGCTGGCGTGTTTTTTGTAGTCATTGGTTTAAGTTTGTAACTTACCAGGTTCTGTTTGTCTTTAGCTTTTCCCACCAATATTTTGTGGCTACTCGTTCCTGTTGGGTTGTTTTCTGATTTTGCTTAGGTAAAACCAGTTTTTCGGTATGTTTGTCTTTTATTTTTCGTATCTTCTGTGCTATTATGCATACTTTATAGTTAGCTGGATGTTGCTCTACAGTGAACATAATAATTTTTCTTTTCTTCCTATGTTTTTCACGAATCCAACCTGTCTCAGTAGCTAACTCTTCCTCATCGGTAAATATTCAACTGTTTCTTTTTCGATTTTATTGGACAGTAGTTTTTGTTCTAATCCTGTATATTTTAAAAACAGTTTATCAGTGTCTTTTGCATTAATAACTGCTTCGTTTTACGATTGTAGTAATGCTTGTTCTTGAAACATGTTGGATTTTGGATTTACGATAACTTTACCACATTGTCATCAAAATCATCCCTCCAAATATATCCATTCTTACTGTTTTTTCTTTTTTTGTTGCTTCACTAATCCATCTAAGCCTTATCATTTCTGCAATCGCTACCATGTAATGAACTTTGCCTTTGGTACACACCTACTCATATTTTGCTTTTTGATTGGTCTGGCATTTGTCTTTCTTCAATAATTCTATTGTTTATTAAACTTGTCTCCTCTAAAGCTAAACATAAATTAATATTAATTCGTATTATTTCTAGAAAATGTACGTAATTTGAACAAATGTTTCAATATGAACAAAATGTACTACAAAATTTTCCGAGTGCCATTTTAGTTACAAAAATTTATAAGATTAAAAACCTTCGGGATACGGGAAATAAACTTTTAAAAACAATGAAACCATCAGATACTTCTAGAGATTCTCCCAGTCAAGATAAATCGCATAGTCCCATCTGTATGCCCGATATACCACTCCCAACACCTCCACCAATGGCTAACATAATGATGACATCTCGTTTCGATCTTCAAACCAGAGGGGGTTGTGGTTACCGTAGGATTTTAAGCTCCAGAAGCACTGAGTTTCGGTCCCCGTTGCTTGGAAGATCTAGTTTTGCTCAAATTCAGGAAACGCGAAGTCCATTAATGCCAGTAAGGAAGGTGAGCAGTATAAGCGAAAAATTGGCACTATCTCCTTTGCCGAGGCATCGAAATTTCGAAGATCTTTCAAAGAATGTAGACGAGCGTTTTAATTTGAGTCTGTCCGATTTGTGTTTTCAACGAAGCAAGTACCTTTCAAGAGACTCAGTACTGTCAGAAGAAATGGAGGAGGTACAAATGGTATCAAGGGAGCTATCATCAAAGTTTAATCAACCATCTACAGAAAACATATCACCAGAGTACCAAAGTGTCTTCTTCAACGACCATTACATATCAGACATCGACGAAAATGAAGAGATCAAAGAGTTTATATGCGGTTATAAAACTCCGGAGAGAAGACTTTCGGATAATTCGGAGAAAACTTATAAATCTTTCGAAAGAACATTTAGCTGTAACACGTTACCCTCATTAAGTTCCTTACGAACAAACAAAAAAGTTAGTGGACCAGTGAATAGTTTCGGTAGTACCAGTTCTATGAAAAGTTCTGATTATTTGTGTAGTCCTTTGGCGGTGAGAAAAATTGACCAGTTTGACCAAAGGAGTGTGTTTAAGAGCCCTCAAAGGACTATTGTTAAGATCGCCAAAGTCAGGTGAGTCAGATGATAAATTGTTCTTTTAATTTAATCATTAAGTAGTTGCTAAGATCCTTTTTAAAAACTATAAATTGCACTAGTAAGTGAATGGGATGTTTTCGGCCAATTTTTAGATAAAAAGGCAAGAGTTGTGCTACTTTATCTTTTTAATGAAGACGTTTCGCCCACTGTTTTACGAGCATCATCAGTTCATTTAAAAGAGTGTTATTAGCGATACATCTAATATGAGAAACAAATAAGTAAATAATCTTACCTTTAAAAGATCTGTAGCAATAAAATGTTTTTAAATTGAAGAAACATAACATACGCAAAATTTAATCTAATATATAAATCAGAAACAAAACAGACTCACAGAACGCCGGAAGATTCCCAATTTATGCAATTTTTAATTTAACATTTAATAACATTGATTGATTATAAAATATATAAAAAAATGTAATTGTCAATTTTGAAATATTATATTAGCAACGGCAAGGCTCAGGGTTCTAGATTGTTAAAACCATAACATGTGAAATGAAGCATTACAACTTCAGAAAAAATATATAACTATCTGGCTAAGTATAAACTGGGACACTTGTCCAATTTACGAAATAATGCTAAAATTATGATATAATAAAAGAAACTGAAGAAGAAACCAATCATTAAAAGTAGAATACGGAAAAATCAATTTTGTAGTATTAGAGCATGGTAAATTTGACTTAAGTTGCTGATATCAGTTCTCTTATTTAATGCATTAGGTTGATTCAAAATATGACACATTTCCATAAATTGTCTCTTATTAAGGTTACTCTACAGAGAATTCTATCATCATCAAAATTCACAGTATGTTTGGTGTTGATTGCATGTTTGTGCAATTTATAGATAGTTTAATGTCACTACGATGTGAAGTAAGGCGTCCTTTAAGGGAACGACCCGTCTGAACAATATAACATGCATCACATTCAGAACAGGGTATGTGATAGACTACATTCACTTGTTCCAAAAAAGAAAAAGGTGTTTTAGTTTTAGAAAACACATTCCTGACAGTTTTAGCATTATCGACAGCAATCTTAACCGGGATATTGTTCTGTTTGTACAATTTAATAAGCTTTTCAGTAACATATGGGATATAGGGTAGTGAAGAATAATGGGTGGTGGGAGTTGCAATGTTAGGAGAAAGTAGAGTACTATTGTTTATAGTATTATTAGACATCATCCTTAGTTGATCACCATCAGGTAAATCATCAATAGAAGACCCAAAACTTGTTGAAAAAAGGTTTTTATTGATGAAAGAAGTAGAGTACGAATTGTCAGATAGTATACTTCTGAGTAATAAAAGAGAATCCCTTTTGTTATCTATTGATGATTTACCTGATGGTGATCAACTAAGGATGATTTCTATTAATATTATGAACAATGGTACTCTACTTTCTCCTAACATTGCAACTTCCACCACCCATTATTCTTTACTACCCTATTTCCCATATGTTACGGTTGCATTTGTTATAACTTGCAAGCAAAACTAACTTAAAAAACCTTAACAGTATTCAATCTACAGCTTTAAGATTGGCACTGGTGCATTTAGAACTAGTCCCACTAGTAGTTTACAAGGTCACCTCTAAACATAAGGCGACAACAATTATCAATAAAATACATTGTTAAAATTTTAATTCAAAAACAACATCCTCTTTTCTCTCAAATTTTTACTCTGGCATCCTCTCTTTTAAAAAGACAACAAACTGTATTCCTCTAATATAAAGAATAAAAGTCACAAATTTTAACATGGATTAACTTAATCTATTGCATATACAAATGCAATCTCTCCTCCATGGACAACCCGCCTACTGACCATTGAGCTAACACTAAGAATGTATCCCAAATCATATACAACTTCTCGATAATTAAACATCTTTTTTCAGGAATCATATCCCGTTACCCCAACTACTTACAAATCTTTACCCATGGCTCTAAAATCCCAGATGGACATTCTGCTGCTTACTATTCTGATGAAGAAGCTATATTAAAAGCCTTAACTTTTTTCAAAACGAGTAAAAAAATGAAGTGCATCATTATTACAGATTCGCTTAATGCATTATTGAAATTAAAACAAATTTATACAACAAATCCCAATATACAAACAATAAAAATTGAATTAGAAACACTTCATTCCATGGAAAAGAACACAGCTTTCATCTGGGTACCATCGCACACCGGAATTTGGGGAAATGAAAAAGCAGATCAACTAGCAACTACAAGCCGTATGAACTTAGAAGATACTACAGAAATTAGAAAATATCCTTATAGTGACATGAAACATCTGATTAAAGATCATTCCAATAAGATTTGGCAAAATTACTGGAAAAATTCAGTAACCAAATTAAACCCAATATGCCCAAAGGTGAACAGCTCTTGGAATAACCCCACAAGTAGACGAGATCAAGTAATTATAAACCGTTTAGGAATCGGTCATACTGCTGTCACACACAAATTTTTAATCAGTAAAGATCCACCGCCAATTTGCTATAACTGCTCCAGTTCACTGACAGTGAAACACTTCGTGCTTGACTGCTCATATTTCCAAAATCAAAGAAGAATGCATGGAATTTCAGACGACCTCAAATCCATGCTGACAGATAAAAATTTAAATGTATTAAATTGTTTAAGAGATATAAAATTGTAATATACTATTTAATGTACATAATCGTATTAAATCTATTGTGTTTGTCATCTCACTAATAACCCTGCGTGATTGATGAGGTATAAGTGTTTTAAATAAAAAAAAATAATTTCTATAATCTTTTTGAAACATTATTATGAAAGTGTTTTTGTAGTAGCGTCTTATTTTTTGACAAATATTTTGCTCGATCTGTACCACAATTGACATCACTATAAAAAGACTATAATATTGTTTTTCGCAAACCTCTACAGATACACAAAAATCTATATCGGAATACTTTTCTGTCTTATCCCCAGAGACCGCAAACGAAAATTCAAGAATTCATCTAAAAATTTCCATAGCTAAATGAATTTCCTTTGTTGGGAGGACGACTATTGGCTCGGCTGGCAAAAGCCGAAGTTTCATCTTCCAATTTCCATAGTAAAGTCAATTCGAAACGAGTCTACCAACTTACATAATGCATCAGACTTTGACATTCGCATACGAAACAAGGCACCAGAACCGGACTAAAACAAAATTATTATTGATAAGACGTACACGTGAAGTTTTTTTTGAGACTGAAGTGATTGATTTAAAGGGCAGGGTAAGAGAAAATCTTGATTAATATCGAGGTTCCGCAAAATTTATTTGCTTGATCAGTATATGCTAAAATAATATTGTTCTGAAGCTATTTTCTTGTGGCATATTTAAGTAATTACTATTTTAATAGAAATAAGTACAACTGAAGTTTAAAATAAGTTGTTGACGTTTTAATTTCAATTCAATTAAATTTTTTGTTACTTGTTGAAAAATTCTTCGAATAATTTAATTTTATCTGACTCATTTATATTATATATCTCCTACAGGGCTGTTCGACTTCACCTATATTATTTAAAATATTTCTTCAATACGCCCTAAAGCCATAGAAAGGGAATGGAAGTACCCATAAGAAACGACCATCTGTATACCCTCAGTTTCGCCGACGATCAGGTCATAATAGCACAAGACGAGGAAGATCTTAATTATATGGTTCTAAAACTAACATAAGTGGTCTGGAAATAAATATTAACAAAACAGAATATCTGAACACAACACAAGAACCACCAAGAATCCTGGAAGTGGATGACGAGCGTGAAATAAAGGGGACGGATAAATTTAAACACCTGAGGTTGATTATATCAAATAAAGGTACTACAGAAGAAGAAATTAAAAATCGAGTGGGTCAAACCAGAAACTCTATAAGACAACTGAATCCAATCTTATGGGACAGACACATAACAAAAAATAACAAAAAAAGAATTTTTAACACGATGATTCGCAGCATTTTAACATTTGGAGCAGAAAATTGGGTCTTAAACAAAAGCAGCAGAAACAAAATAAACGCCACAGAAATGGACTACTGGAGAAGAAGCTGCAGAGTTTCTAGAATGGACAAAATAACTAACAACGAAATCAAAAGACGAATGAAAATAAAGAAAGACACCTTGAATTACATTGAAGAAAAAAGATTAACGTGGTACGGACATGTCAGACGAACAGATCCAAACCGATGGATCGCAAAAATAACAGAGTGGAGCCCCATAGGAAAACGCAAAAGAGGCAGACCAAGAAGACCTTTCAGAGATGGGGTAGATGAAGTCATGGAAAGAAGATGATTGGAAGACGGAGAATGGGAGGACAAAGAAGAATGGAGAAAATGGTTGAGAGAAGGGAGACAGCGACAGCTTTAGGAACCCTTGTGATTCGTCTTTAAAAAAACAACTACAACATGCCATGATGACAGTTAAAATTTTCCTGATAGTGATTCGATACTAACTTACTAATAGTGGTATTTTTTATTAGCGTTTTTTTAATATGGGTAACCAGATCTTACTGCATTCTGAATAGGGATTTGCTATACAATTGGTTTTATTTAGCATAATTAGAGGTTATTTTTCTCTTTTCATCATCTATTTTTTTAGAACTATACTTGAATCTGAAGCTATGTTCTTGTGGTATTTCAAAGTAATTACTATTTGAATGGGAATAAGCCACAATTGAAGGTTAAAGTAAGTTTATTGACGTTTCAATTTGTAATAGATCAATTGAGATCTATTTTTGTTTCAATTTTCAATATATCAATTGAGATCTATTTTGTCTAAAACTAAACCTAACAATGAACGAGAAAGAACAAAAAATTGTATTTATAAAATACCTTGTGAATGCGATCAGTTTTATTTAGATCAAACGTCAAGGCCATTATATGTTAGAATAAGATAACATCAATCTTATATTAAAAATAGAGAATTTAATAGATCTCAAATATGTAAACACGCATGGGATCATGAAATATGGTTCAATGGAATAATTAAGTATGGTCCTAAAAACAACGGTCGGTAAAAAGAGAAAAATCAAAGAAACGGCTCTAATTATACTAAATAAGACCAATGGTGTCACAAATTCCTCGGCAAAATGCAGTAGGATCTGGTTATTCATATTAAAAGAGGAAGTTAATAAAAGGAAAATACCAGCATTAGTAACTCAGTAACATATCGAGAATACGTGATTTATATTTTTTATATAACAAACATATAAAATCAGAATTTGGTGTTTATTGAAAGTAAACTCAATGTAACACCAAATACTTTGATTCCCTGATCACATCACCTCCTCTTCTGAATACAACAATTTTTGATTTATCTAAATTTATTTGTAGATTCCACCTGCCGAATTTTTCCAGTCCATTAATCATCCACACGTTCGTATTGATTACTATCACCACCAAATTATCTGCGTATAATAAAAGTCTTATAATCAGACCATTTCTATCTAAACCGCCTTCCAATGCTTTATGTAGGTCATTCAAGAAAAGAGCATAGTAATGTACTTAA